CATCATCTTCGTCTCCTTTCTCGTCATCAGTTTTCAAAAGACTGCGCCCGATCATTGTCGTCTCACGATCCAGCTGCTGAGGACGCAGGCCGTCTGAAGAACTACAAATGATTGAGTACATCAGTGTGAATTCCATGAATAAAGGATATGAAAATGTGTGCGAGTTGCATCTACTGAAGATGTCCTTACTTTGCTTCAGTAAAGCCTGTGTTCCTGATGACAAGCTCTGAGCTGAAATAGAGAAAATTCAGATTTACAAAGAGATTACAAAACTAAAGAAATGTGATTTAGTTATATATTAAATGGATGAAACCATGGGTCCATCCATCCATCCATTCAAAATAGGTAAAAAGAAGGACGAAGGATGAAGAACAGAGGGAAGAAAGGAAGGATAGATGGAACAAAACAAAGAATAGAGGGTAGGAAGGAATAATGGATGGAGGGATGGATGGATGGAAGACAGGAAAGAAGGAGGTAGGGAATGAGGGAAGGATGGAGGAAAAGAAGAATGGATGAAAAGAAATAGAAGAAAGGAAGAATGGCTGGATGGAAGGAAGATAGAAAGGAAGAATATATGGAAGGAAAGAAGAAGGTAGAAAGAAAAGATGGATGGATGGAGAAAAGAAGGAAAGAAAAAGTTAGAATGGATGTAAGAAAGCAGTGGAAGTAATAAAGGAAGGGAAAATGGATGGAAGAATGAATGAACGAATTGCTGGAAGGAAGGAAGGAAGGAAGAACAGAAGGAAGGAAATAGAGGCAGAAAGGACAAATGGAAGGAAGGAAAGAAAAATTAATGTATGAATTGCTGGTTGGAAGGAAGGAAGGAAGAACAGAAGAAGGAAATAGAAGCAGGAAGGACAAATGGAAGGAAGAAAGGACAGAAGGGAGGAAGAATAGATGGGAAAAAAAGAATGAAGTAGAATGAAGATGAAAAGAAATAGGGGAAGGAAGGCAGGCAGGTGTGAAATGGATGGATGGATGGATGGAAGGAAGGAAGGAAGGAAGGAAGCATGGATGGGACAAAGTTGGAATGGATGGAAGGAAGATGTCAAAATAATGAAAGAAGGGAAAATAGGTCAGGAAGGAAGAATGGATGGGAGGAAGGAATGATGAATAAATGGACAGATGGATGGATGAGATGAGCATAACGATGTCTCTCACCCATCAGTGTCCTGTTCTCTGATGAAGTCGCCACCGTCCCACCCGCCTGCAGCCCCCTGAAGAGGGTTGTACTTCACCTCCAGCTCTATGTAGATCTACATGATAAAATCCATCAGCACATACCAACACAAAAGAGCTTCAATCACACCTAACACCACACCAACAGCTAATGATTCCATAACCCTTCACCACACCAGTGTTAAAATATCATGAAGAGTATTTGTTTAACTGAGAGCAGCTCTTCACTCACACCAGTGAGACCGTGCTGAGCGTCTGTGAGGGGCTCACGGAGCAGCAGCTGCCCCACAGACACCACATGCTGCAGGCTGACCACCAGCCTTCCCAGCAATCTGTGCACACACAGCAATATACTGAATTGTTTTGGAATATTATGTTCATTAAGAATCATTTAGTTCATTTCCCTCGTCTTATTTATAATGAATACTTTCAGTATGAGGGCTGATTCATGTTCTGACCTGTTGCTGAACATCTTACTGCAGTTGTAAATGCTGACTGACAGAATTTCATCCCTCTCAACCTTCCCATAGTGAGGCCATCTGAAGTGCTAGAGTCATATAAATACACAATAACAGATTAAAACAAAATGTACAAACATGTTCATTTATTGGACACAGGCTAAATGTGTTTTTTTCTTTCTTTTTTTGTTTTTGGTGTTCAAGAAACATTATTAATGTTGAAAAATGTTATGCTGCCTAATTTATTTTGTGGTAACAGTGATTTGTAGCATATATTTTAATTAGAAATCATAACATTATGAATGTTTTGTTCTGTCACTTTTGATCAGTTTAATGTGCCCTTGCTTTCTTTCAACACTGATGATAATGTTTCTTGAGCACCAAATTAGCATATTACAATAAACTACATTTTTAAATATAATAAATAGAAAACAGTTACTTTAAATTGTAAAAAAATATTTCATAATATTCATGCTTTACTGTATTTGTGATTAAACAAATCAGCATAAGGGACCTCTTTCAAATTATTAATTATTCCAAACTTTTGACCGGTAGTGTGTGTGGATATAAATAAAATAAATTCATAAAAAACAATGGTGGTGTTTGTGTTAGAGCTCTCCCTTCTTTACAGTCACTGCATTTCTCATAAAAGAAAATCCCAAGAACTTCCTCCTCATAAAGCCAGTGTTGAACATGATTTATCTTCACTCAGATTGAATGACTTTTCTTTCTTGTCCTTCCCACCATTCCAGTATCTGTTAGCTTAAGTTAAAGGATAACCTTGTGACAGACCTCTAGTCAAATATTGTAATTTCATTACTGTACCTGAGCTCATAGATGTGGCTGTTTACAAGACTTTGGGAATGTTGAAGTGCCTGTGGTAGATCTAGCATGGTGACTAAACACTAAAGGTGTGGTTAGCATGAAGACCTCCTCCCAACATACTCAATAAAACACTGATTTCATCTTCATTCTATAAGAAAGAGCAGCTACGTTTGTTGCTTTCACAGGTTGTCTTCCCAAATGTATTATGAAAAAATAAAGATAGCCTAAAATGTGAAGGTGGTAACCAGCACACTACTGTTCAATAGTTTGGGGTCAGTAATACTTTTAATCAGCAAGGATGCATTACATTTATCAAATAGTGAGAGTAAATACATTGATAATAATAGTAAATAGTTCTTGTTAAAATGATTTCTGAAGGATCATGTGACACTGAAAACTGGAGTAATGGCTACTAAATATTCAGCTTTTTTTTTTCCAGGAATAAATTACATTTTAAAATATATGAATATTAATATATTAATGGAAAACAGTTAGGTTAAACTGTAATTTAGCTGTTTTTTTCTGATCAAATAAACGTAGCCGTGGAGTACAGGAACTTTTGAATGGTATTGTAGCAACTAATGAGCTTACCTTTATGCGGCAGTGGTAACTTTTTTTGCGTTTCTAAATATCCTGTAGCAATTACATAAACAACTTTCATAAAATTTCACCATAAACGCAACTAAAACAGTTACCTCGTTGAAGATGGCTATATTCTCACACTGAAGGATCCTGGTTTTGTGAGTAAAACCTGGAGAGTAAACATTTTTTTTTCCTTTTTAAGTATAGTAAGATAGAAGTCTTGCATATACAAGTTTAAACAAAGATATCACGTTAGTCCCTCTATTATTTCTCACATTATATAAATACTACACATTTTTGTATTTAATTTATTCCCCAATTAAACAGAATATGACAATATTGTTATCCCTCAATATCTAGCACTTACCTCTAAAAGACAATTCCACTTTCCTGTCATATTTCCCTGGCAGGTTATATATCTTCTTTAAAAGGACAGTGATAGACATGGCCAAGCGCTGCTGTTCTTGTAATCCTGATCCACTGTGTTAGCTTTGAGTGAAGTTGGTCTTCATTGTTCTTAAGGTACAAACACAATACTCAAATCTGACTTAAAATAAGTACTAGACAAATACAGCCTCAATTAGTCCGCTGTTAAATATCCAGTATTCATGTAGCCTTCAAAGTCAGAGCATACGATCCGACACCTTGAGGAACTGCTGGAATTCCATCTGACAGAAAACTCCCCAGGCAGAAGACCAGTTGTAATATTTACCTATGATAATTCAATAGAATAGTTAACAGTTGAACCAAGGGCGTGATACGAGTATACAGGTGAACAACTGTGTTCACTTCTGCATTTCAATTCTATGAACTCCAAATAATAAGAGAACAAGTGAGAATTGGATAAATTTATTGAAATAAAACTATGCCTTTTTGTTGCACACATGACAACCCCCCACACACACACACACCTTCTGTGTTAATAAGGCTATTTTATTTTATTTTCATTAGCATTTTTTGACCGTTTTTGACACCAAAATTGGTTTAACTGAGTGACAATGGCTTCTGAAGAACATGTTGCTGTGTAAACATCATATTTCATGATTACGAAAAAAAAATGATGGGAAGAAAAACATTCATAATATGATTACAATACCATTCCCTTTAAATCATTAGATTAAAAAGATTCTTTAAACAAGATAACGGTCCCATAAGGCTTCATGTGGCAAGCGCAAGAGTACATGTCTAAAATCAATAGATCTAGTGGAGAAGTGCAATTGACTTTACTGTGCGATTAAGGTACAAACATTTGTGTTAGATAAATGAAATTAACAGCACTACTTCTGTCATTCCAAATGGATCTTTAAAACATTTGACACAAATGTACAAAATCCTCAAAATAAAAAGGCATAACGGATAAGGAGTTCTATGGTCCCAATGTCGATGTCTTTATACCAGTAAACCAGTATTTTTAAATTCCATTCTATTCAAATTCATACTACATAGTATATATGCATTCTAAATGATTCTCAATATATCTTGGTCAAAACAATGATAACATATTGGCAAAACAAATATCAAAGAATCTAGCTTCATGCAGATTTAGTTTGCTAGTGAAAAACATGCAGCAATTTCTTTGGCAAGGTTATAGCTACTCATCTCTATTATGGCAGCATGATTAATTGCAGCATAGTGGTTGAATGAGTCATTCACTTTTTTCTGTCAAATACTATATCGCAGAAAGTGCAGGAAATTTCATAAAACAGCATTCCTGATTGATATTGCATACATCTACATCAAAAAGCAGAGCAAGGCCTAAAAGTGATTTCAAATATTGGCTTAAGAAACTCAAGGCATCTGTATTCATGAACAATAATACAAAAATATATGGAACAATACAGAGAAATAGATCTATAAAAAAATACATTTATATAAACTCTTTTCCAGTTGGAAAATAATAATATAAGGAATAACAATCTTGGAAAGTAAAAGAAAAATATGAAGGACTGAGAATGAAAATTATTTGCATAATATATAAAAAAGGAAAATACAAGTCGTCTTCATTAGAGTTCAACACCACCACAGTGCTTCCTTTAACAGAGCTGTGGTTCCCTCTAGTGGTGACCCATACTAATTCTAACTAACTACTATTTCTGTTAGATACCTACAATTCAGTCTCCAGCGCAAACCTGTGTCTACTTGACAGGTGAAGGAGGGGTGACAGGAGCCATATTTCTCATTTTGAAGTATGACACCAGCTGATTTGGCACCTCGGCTAGAACACTCTGAGCCAGCGCTTCTTTAGGAGCCTAAGGAGAAACGAGATGTAAAAAGAGATGGCATAATTACTGACAGTGATATACTTACAGAAAACACTGGATGTGAATTTAAGGACTTTAAACCAATTCATATTTTAAGAGGCTCATACACTGGTAAACTGCTTGAAGGGCACAAACTGCACAATATCTCTGGCCACCGGTTCTCCGGTCAAAGATTTGAGAACTCCACTGTCCCCATCCAGAAACTCCATGGCCTTAAAGTCTGCCTCACCCACACCCACGATGATGATAGACATGGGCAGTTTGGAGCTGTTCACGATGGATTGTCTGGTCTGGTCGAGATCAGTGATCTCTCCATCAGTGATGATCAACAGCACACAGTATTGCTAATTCAGAGACAGAGAAGAAGACACACAAAATGCTAATGGACTGAAAATACCATAGCAAACCACAGATCAAAGACACATGAATACCCATCAAACCACATCCTGTGGATGAGGCAGCACACTACAAAAAAGGCACGTAGAGTTAACTCACTGCTGCATTTGTTTGCTGGGCGGCTTCGGCTGCAATTCGGGCCACGTGATTTATAATGGGGGAGAAGTTAGTGGGTCCATAGAGACGAATTTGAGGCAAAACCATGCGGTAGGCGTCCACAATGCCTTGCACTCCTGTATGGTATAAAACATCAGCCATGTGACAAGCATCTTAGAACGTGTTCTAGTCAAACAGGTGTGTAATTGTTCAATTTCAAATCCAAATTTTCAAACATTGTGAGTCTCACCTTGGCAATATGGGCTCTTGGCGTTGAAGTTCAATGGGAACTCATGGGATACCTAAGAAATCGCAAAAACGTACTTTTGTTTAATTACATTTCTATTACAACTAACAATGAATAAGTATCAAGGACACCTGTAATGGCTAACCTGGAAGTTTGGAGGCACTTGAGCACCAAATCCAAATGCTGGGAAAAGTTTATCACTACAGGAGAAGAAAAAAATGACTTCTATGTACACACACACACACACACACACACAAAATTCCCAATGCTCACCAAGGCTGGAATTATTTTAATAAAAAAAAAAAAAAAAAAAAAAATTGGTATTGTTAAATATAATTATTTAATATATTTTAAAATGTAATGAATTTCTGTGATTTTCAGCATCCATTACTCTAGCTCAAGACATTTATTCTTATCAAACGTTGAAAACAGTTTTGCTGCTTGTTTTTTTTTTTTCATTGAACTGATAATTTTTAGGATTCTTTGAACAAGGTTCAAAAGAACCACATTTATTTGAAATAAAAATCATTTTTAACATTAAAAATGTCTTTACTGTCACTTTTGATCAATTTAATGCATTCCT